AGAGAGAGAGAGAGAGAGAGAGAGAGAGAGAGAGAGAGAGAGAGAGAAGTATGTTTCAGTTAGCAAGGCTCACATGGAAAAAAAATCTTTAGACCAGATAGAGATACCTTTACATCAGATATAGAGATACAGAATTGGAGTTTGCCCTGCTGTCTTTGGTCTAGCATTTCTGCACCATGGTCCATTTCCTCCCATTTGGAATGGCTATTATATGGTGAGGGTACATGGTTTATTTTTTGCTTTTGCTTTTACAGGGGGTTATAGGTAAGAGAGTGTCTTGAACCTCAGAAGAGACCTTGAACTTATAAATAACAGTGTTGAGACTGTGCAAGTCTATAGAGACTTGTGCAAACAAGCCCTCCATTAACTGCTTCCTTTCATAAGCATTTTATAAGGTTATGGTGTTTCATCACAGCAATAGAATACCATTGCTTGTTAGGTGTAAAGGCACTGCATTTGCATTTTTAGCATTTTAATAAAATGACATTAGTATTTAGTAATTCCAAATGTCATATAAAAAATTAAGCATGAATTAAATGAGCATATACAGTTTCTAAAAGAATATAAAAAGAATGATATCATAAAAGGCACATACTAAGTAAGGAGGAACTAAGAAAATTCCATCTACGAAAAGAAAGGGATTAATACTAAAACAGAAACATATTTGTAGACTTGAACAGTAAGAATGGAACCACATCAATGGAAATAAAAGCACATAGATCGTTTTTTAATATCCCTAAAATTGTTATTAATTCATTATTAGAATCCCTTAAAAGTCAGAGTCTTGGATAAAAATCCAGCCTATTATTTGAAGGAAATGGGACCACAAAGCAAAATGACATAGAAAAATGTGAGGGTGGTAGATGCGCAGGAGAACTCAGAAGCCTTTGTTTCTGGTGGGTTTTGTCCAGCGGCCCTGTGCCCAAGGTGCTGATCAAAGGAAGAGTTCTTACAACAGGGGAAATGTCCCGTCTTTAAAGCTAAATTCTCATTAGTGTGCTGATGGATAATATGGGCCTTTTATTGTATTGTTAAAAGTTAAAATCAACTAAGAAAGATGCATTTAAGCACCCATAATCAAAGATGATTTTGGAGACACAGACTCTGCTTGGG